GACATACAACTATCTACTGGGGCTTTGGGGGAAAAATAAATAAATAAAATTATAAAAAAAAAACAGTGCTTTGCACATTGCGTGTACTCAATAAAGATCTGGTGAATAAATCAATTAAAAAAAATTAACTCAGAATGGATTAAAGATTTGAATGTAAGCCCTGAAACCATGAAACTTCTAGAAGAAAACATAGGCAGTATGTTCTTCAACATTGGTCTTAGCAACATATTTTCAAGTACCATGTCTAACCAGGCAAGGGAAACAATAGAAAAAATAAACAAATGGGACTACATCAAACTAAAAAGCTTCTGCACAGCAAAGGAAACCATCAACAAGACAAAAATACAACCTCACAATTGGGACAAGATATTTGCAAACCATATATCTGATGAGGGCTTAATCTCCAAAATATATAAAGAACTCATGCATCTCAACAACAAAAAAACTAACAACCCAATTAAAAAATGGGCAAAAGATTTGAACAGGCATTTCTCCAGAGAAGATATACAAATGGCCAACAGGCACATGAAAAGATGTTCAGCATCATTAACTATCAGGGAAATGCAAGTAAAAACTACAATGAGTTATCACCTCGTGCTTGTCAGAATGGCTATAATTAACAAGACAGGAAACAACAAGTGTTGGAGAGGATGTGGAGAGAAGGGAACTCTCATACACTGCTGGTGGGAATGCAAACTGGTGTAGCCACCATGGAAAACAGTAGGGAGATTCCTCAAAAAATTAAGAATAGAACTACCATATAATCCAGCTATTCCACTGCTGAGCATTTATCCAAAGAACATGAAAACACCAATACATAAAGATACATGCACCCTTATGTTCATTGGAGCGTTACTCACAATAGCCAAGACTTGGAAGCAACCTAAATGCCCATCAAGGGACGAATGGATAAAGAAGATGTGGTATATATACACAATGGAATACTACTCAGCCATAAGAAGCGATGAAATCCAGCCATTTGTGACAACATGGATGGACCTTGAGGGTATTATGCTAAGCAAAATAAGTCAGAGGGAGAAAGTCAAGTACCGTATGATCTCACTCATAAGTAGAAGATAAAAACAACAACAAACAGTCACGTAGAGACAGAGATTGGATTGGTGGTTACCAGAGGGGAAGAGGGGAGGGAGGAGGGCAAAAGGGACGATTAGGCGCATGTGTGTGGTGATGGATTGTAAGTAGTCTTTGGTTGGTGAACATGATGTAGTCCGTGCAGAAATCGAAACATTATGATGTACACCTGCAATTCATATAATGTTATAAACCAATGTTAATGCAACAAAAAAAATTAAAAAAAAAAAGAATCTTTTTAGTTGTTTTTTGTACAAGCAGATAAACCAACTGCAAGAGGACTTGCTATGGCAAACAGATTTCGTATAGTGGTGACAGGGATGATAGTAAAAATTTCAGAATAAAGTTTAGCATCCATTAGAATAGAATCCAGCTGTAGCACTGAAGCAGAGTCCTCCTGTAGGCTTCCTGCTTATCCTGCGTCGCTTGCTAGATCATGGGGGAGTTTAGGGGTGTAGGAGGAGTCTGAATGAGGAAGAAGGGTGTCCAGGATGTAAGGAAGGGCATAAGAGGAGCTTCGGGCACAGACTTTGCCAACCTGTATTTTAGCACTTCAATGAACAGTGTGGCTGAATTTTGCATATCAGGTCAATGTCAGCTTTTCAGGTGATAAGTTTGTCCTCACCCACATTCTGTCTTCTTGTCCTCTTGAGACCAAACACACACATATACTAGACAGATATTATCCCTATTTTACAGGTGAGGAAACTGAAGCTCAGAGAGGGCAGATCACAAGGGCCAGTGTTGGAGCTGAGATATAAAGCCAGGGCTGAATGACTCCAAAGACAAAGCTTTTGGGACTAAGATTGTTACGTGACATTATTCATTAATGTTCTTTAACATTTGCTAAGGGATCTTACAGATATTATTTGGTTCTTACAGCAATCTTATGAAATAGTGTGGACCTTATTATCAATCCCTTTTCAGATTTGGGAAACCTGAGGTTTAGAGAAGCAACTTCTTCAGGGATACTGAAAGAAGGAACAAAAGATGGAAGCTCATTAGGCTTTAGAATCTGGATTCACATAAAGTCAAACTTTCTGATTCTGGAACCCCTGCTCTGCTACCATACCATGCCACCCTGAAATCTGTAATTGTACATTTCCTAGAACGCTGTCCCAACAATGCCTGCTCCTCTCTACAAAGATGGCTATGATAACACACGGCCAATAGTCATACGTTTACAGTTGCTCTTCCTGGCATTAGGTTAGCACCCAGCCAATTACATTCTCCTTCCTGATTCTCCTTAAAACCAATGGCAAGCAACTGATGGTCAGTTAACCTGGATTAGAGGGCGGTCTATGACCATGTAATAGAATCACACTAACTAGAGTATGTGGAGTGAAACGCTGACTTCAGCTCTAAAATCCATGTGTTTTATGTACCATTTGTGTGGATTTGGAATTTCTTTTCTAGAAATAGTATTCTGACCTCGTATCAAGTACTTTATTTAAATGCAGACAAATAAATCTTTTATACTGCCTATATCCAATATTCTAGACTTTGTGCAAATATCACTTCTTCCCTGCAGCTTTCCCTACCTGCCCCAGGCAGAACCAGTCACATCCTTTTCTGTACCTAAAGCACATATCTTAACTGTAGTCCATCTAAATTGTGCTGCAGTTATTTGTTTATATTTCAGATTAGCCCATGAGGACTTTGACCTATTAATCTTTTTCTCCGCATCAACTAGATTATGTTTGGCATGTAGTAAGTGTCCAAGAAACGATTGTTGACTTAATTAATTAATTAATACATCCACTAAAAACTAAAGCTCATATTCACTAGTTTGGAAGGAAATTAAGTGATATCATTTTTAGGGGTGGATATAACGGTAACATTTGGTCTGTCTTCGAACTTTATAATTTTGATTAACCAAATATGGGGAATAAAGGCTTAGCAGTTCTATTTTATTATAACATTTATAAATCTGTTTACCGTTTTGTAAACATAATTATTTTATATTTAATTGCAAAAAATTCCCTGGATTAAAAAGAGTATTCAACAACTTTAATTAATTAGAATTATATGGATATTTAAAATGGTGATGTTGATCTGTATGTACTTACATGGAAAGATGTCTATGATATATTGTTAAGTGAACAAAGAGAAGATTATGAAACAGCAATTAAAGTATGATGTCATTTTTGTAGAAAGAAATTTTACATGGTTGTAGGAAAAATCCTAGAAGAATAATAGTGGGAGTAATAATAATATTTATATCCTTTCTTTATAATGAATGATTACAAACTTCCAGGTATGGAATTAAGTGCCTTCACACATTATTTTAACCCTCACAATAACTCCATTAATTCATTCGTCATTAATTAATTCAGCATTCAATGTATATTTCTTGTCCCAGGCACTGTGCTAAATGTTAGAGATAGAACAGTGAAGCAGACAGACACAGTACCCAGTGTTTTATCATTATCTTAACTCTACAGATAAAAATTAGAGAGCTTGACCCACCCCTCAGAGGTCTTCTGGTGGAACTAAACATACAGACTCATAAGACTCCTGTAGGAGGCTACATTTGCCACCAGTCTATTCAGGTGGATATGGCACAGGAACCACAGTTTGCAAGTAGGGCGGCATCAGGCCTTCCTTTCTGTGGGAGTCCTTGCAGTCTTCTAGCAGCCACCATCTCTGGCTCCTCAGATAATGACTCAGACTCAAGGAGCTGAGATCCACATTGGGTGAGTGCGGGAGCTACCCTGAAATAAAAGCCTCATTCTCCGTGTAACAACTCCACAGGTATAGCGTCCAGGGTTCCCATAAGAATCACTACCACCATCAGGTGTTTATAGTTCATTATAGTTTCTCCCAGTCCAAAGGAAGTTTGCCAATCAGAGGTCATTTCAATCATAAGCAATGCTACCTAGAAACACAGTTAACATTTTACTCCTATCAGATTACCAGGGAAATGAACTGGAGAGTGGACCAAATGTCAAATTCTCAAGCAGAAGAAGGGGAAAGGGTTTTGTTAAGTAGCTATCCAATAAGCAAGCAGCAGAGTGGATTCTAACTTACGTCTTTCTGACTCTAAAGCCTGGCTTCTGCACTTTACTGGATGGTAACAAAAATGATCTCTGGGAGGAAAGCATTTAGACAACCTACTTTCTTCTTCATTCTTTCTGAATTTTCAGGGCTTTTTTTTTTTTAAAGAGCATGAATTTCTTTTGTAATCAGACAGAAATGTTTTCATTAAAAAAAGACTAGCAACGTGAAAATGTGCTTTTGCTATAGGATTAAGTGAAAGCAGCCAGAAACAAAATGATATATGCATTTGCATTGTGATTAGGATGATGTAAAAAGAGAGATGCAAAGAGAAAGAGGCCAAGCAAAAATACAAAGCCGTCCAAACAGTAGTTAAGTTAGGATGGTTGACTTGTGAAGGGCATTTTTTTTCTGTTTTCCAGATTTTCTATGAAATGCTTGTGTTATTCTTCGAATAAAATGAAATGCATTTATTAAAATAGAAAGAAAATATATTTAGCTTATAAGATATAAGATATAAAAACCAGGCAAACATCATCCTAAGGTAATAGATTTAGTTCTGTTTTTCTTTGTATAGGTGAATATATTTTGTAAAAAATTTAACTATGTTAGGGATTCAGAGTTCTCAAATTATTTCAAAACACACACATGGACGTGGAAGACGGGAAGGTGGATTAGAGAGCAGTTCTGTTCCATTCCTGAAAGTAACCCATGTAACTAAAAGAATTTGCCCAGGGACCTTGCTGTGTCCCTGCCCTGACACCACTATTTCAGTGCACTACAATAACTTCCCTAGGTTGGGTTCACTCAGTAGACTGGAAATACCATTGCTCAACCCCTTTCTCATGTTATTTGTCTATAGTTATTTCAGGATGTAGCTATTTGAGTTTTAATTTTCTTTCAAAACTCACGTTTTGGGCTTTATATGATCCTTCTTTAGCCAAGTACTCATATAATTGGATAGCTTCTGTAATGTTTTGCGTGCCAAGATTTCCAAATAGCAAAGCATCAGCCATTTTCTCCATAGCTTTCAAATTTCCCATGTCAGCTGCTTTGGCAAAGAGTATGTAGGCTCTGTTTCAAGAATATGAAGTTAGGATTATCAAAAATGAAATTTTCTGCTCCCTACTTCATACTACTTCTCTCTAACAAGTAGGGCCCAATTGTCATTGCTACTAACAATACGGTTTAGCTGAAGTCCATTACATCTCTAAACCGGTAGGTTTTTTCATCCCTAGACTAGTCTAAGATTATAATTTCAAATATATATGACAAATAGTGAAGCTGCTAAAAAGGAGAAATATATAGGATACATCATGCTTCAAGCTTATACACCAAGTGAACTGAAAAATGAGGCACTTCTTCTAACATAGTAAACGCTCCCGTGGCCACCACCATTATATGAATACCTGTTTCATAAAATGAACTCTGAAATATACAACAATATAATCAAAATCAATCAAAAAATAATCAAAACTGGAATGTCACGTCTAGGAAGTTACTATCATGAGAACAAAGTTCCCTTTATATTCTGAAATAGTTTTCTAAAACAGAACATATTCTTCAGCACAGCAAAGCCAGACTGTGTGGGAAAACAATAACCAAACAAAACCTAATGGTTACTAGGGATCTAGAGTCTGACTGCCTGGGTTCAAATCCCTGCTCCACCACTTATTAGTTTGAGTGCTTCAGGCAGGTTATTTAACTTCTCTGTGCCTCTCTCATCTATGGATGGGGATAATAGTAGCACCTACTTCATAGGGTTGCTGGTAGAATCAATGAGATAATTCATGTGAAGTGCTTGGCATGGTGCCACAGAGTAAGTGCTCTATAAGTTTAACTCAATAAGTTTATTATGATTATTATGATTATATTATTGCATAGATTCTACAGTTTTATAGCATGGTAATTGTTCTCCTGTGAAAGTTGATGCCATATAGATGCCATAGGATTGCCTTACACTGCATTTTCTTAGCCCCAATCAGAAGTCACCTGGATCTGATCCGTATAACAAGTAGTGATGGAGAGTCTTGCAAAGTCAAAACTTACGTCAGAGACAGAGAGTACTTTTGGGATTTATTTTTCTTCTTATAATTTCCTTTTTGGTAGCAGTAAGGCCAGAAAGCATTAACATCTGCCTATGACCTTCAGTCAAATACAAAAACAAACATATATATCTACCGTTGCTACCAAGTCAGAAGGATCAGGAGACTCAGCTTTATGTATTGCCTATCCACGCTGATGCTAAAACAACCTGCTCTTGGTCAAAGGCTGGAGCAGAATAGAATGGGCAAAAAGGAGGGACTGGGTGATATCCAGGTAGGCGTTAGGGTCCTGGATGGCAAAGCAGAGAGTAGACTCCAGTGGAACAAAAAAAGCTAGGAGGTCAAGCAAGAAATTAGCCAGGGTCAGAGCAAGCTGAGATTCTGGGTACCAGAAGGCAAATAATAAGATAAAAGCTCTTAAAGGTCAATGAATGCAAATGTCTGGCATCCAGGGACAGGCATGACATTAGGATACAGGACAGTCCTTGAAGCCCTTTTGTCACGTAGCTCGCTGCTGCAATTACATAGCCTGCTGGGACTAGAAGGGCATCGACGTGGACCAGGGCAGAGAAACCTGAGATGAGCTGCAGGAGCCAGCAGTATATCCATTCACCGGTCTCAGGGGGCAGCGAAAGGTTGCAAAACCAATCCCTCTAGCTGTCTTTGATTCCAAGGGAGGGGTCCTCTGTCAGCAAAGTCCAAGTTGATAGAAGGAATACTAGAAGCAGGACCCAGGGCTGGAGAAAGTTGTTGGTAAATCAGGCAGGATTAAGATCTGGGCAGCAATCCCCAAGAGGGAAAAAGTAGGATAAACTGGGCAGCAGGGGCAGATCCCCAAAAGAAGGTTCAGTTAGGTATCTGGATCATCTCTGAAGGATCTGGCCTTGGATGCTAAGGTGGGTACTGGGAAAGAAGGGGCTAAATGCATCTCTAGGACACATCAGAAACTTGGTGTTGGGCAGCACCTCATCTCCAAACTTCCTTTGCTGATGGGGAGTAATTCTTAATGATGCCTAACGCTGGCTGTCACTGAGGCTTCTCAACTCCTTCAGACAAGTTTGTGTCTCCCTGATATATACTTGCTTAACATCTGTACTTTTAACAGCACTGACTTTTTCAACAATTTCCCCCCTCATACATATGAAGAGGCTGCATGAATGAATGAATGGATTGGGCTAGGATATGGGTGTGGATGAGCCAAAAGGACTAGTAGCACCTCTATCTTATGCTACCCCCACCTGAGAAGTGGTGAAGTAAGAAGGGGGTAGCAGAGAGGAAAGAATGGGAGTGAAATGATTCCCCTTTGGTCAGTAGAGTGTGCTTTCATTTTTCTCTCCCCTGACCAGAATCTGAGAGATGTCTATATAGGTACAACTGGCTTAAGGGGAGAGCAGACCATCCTGATAACTGAAGGAATTTCACCCAGCTTGCCCACAAACTCCTGGGGTCTCTTAATATGAGCAGATTTGGTTTCAGTTCTCCGTTGCTACCAACTTAGAAGGGTCAAAAAACTCAGCTTTACGTACCCTCTCACGTATCTATGCTGCTGCAAAAATAAGCTGCTTTTCCGGCACTCTTGGGCAAGGACTGGAGCAGGATAGGCTGGGAAAAATAGCCTGAGATTGAATGACACCTAGGTAGGCATGAAGGTTGCCGCACTGCTGGACAGTCTGCTACCAGGGCTGAGTTTTCTCCCCATCCTTTAAGCCAAAGAAGAGGGCATCCTTCAAGGCTAAGTGGATAGTTACTTGAGACCTTCTAAGAGTGATTTTGTCCCATCAGACTGAATACAAGGTTTCCTTGGACCTCATCTTGGGTTCACCGGCTATAGGCAGAGCTAGTCTGAAATCTCAGGGACCAGCCTCTTCCCAGAACTCCATTTTTCTCTCATCCAGCTAGGTTGGGTTGAGGATTCTCTATTCTTACCCACTCATGGGCACCTGAGTGAGCTGACTTCTCTATCAGGCTGGATTGCATTTTTGAGGTCTGATTTAACCCTATCCTCATCATGACAGCCCTCAGGGATGCTCAGCATGAGGCCCAAGTTTTGCTGAGGATGATTTCCTTTACTTTTATAAAAAGCTTCTAATTTGACTTCCCTTAGAGAGAGGACCAACTCCCTTCCTTCCTTCTTCTTGTCACTTTGGAAGAATTACAGAATCTTTTTGACCTTCAATTTCCTCTTCTGTAATTTGGGAATAATAATCAATGTCTCACATCATTGAGTAATGAATAATATTCCACACGTAAGTGCCTAGAGCAATATCTAGCACAAAGAAGGAGCTTGATAAATGGAAGTTGTTGATATTGTTGTAACCTGGTTCATAGTTGAGTGCCCCCTCATTGTCTACACTCTTATGCTCTTCTCGAAGGCTTCTAGTTTTAAGAAAGAATTCATGGACTCTGCTGCTGCCCTGTCTCGGGTTGCCTACCACAGCTCTAGGATGCTTCCCCAGGGCTGGTATACCTAATCTGTGTGAAAACAAAGATGTGTCCTTGTTGGGGGTTCAGAGCCCATTCTTTCTATTATTGGTTCAAGATACACTTGCTTTCTTCTCTCCCATGCCTTCCACTTACCGATTATAGGACGAGAGATAAAAATAACAAATGATTATCTCCTGGTTACTACGTGTCAGGCACTGTTCTAAGGGCTTGTCTGTATTATCCAGGGCACAAAGAGGTTAAGTAACTTGCCCAGGATCACACAGCCAGTAAATGGCAGAGCTAGAATTTGATCCCAAGGGTTTAATCAGAAACTGAGGAGTGACCTCAAGTTGTGTGTTTCTACTGAGGGGGAGAAGACATTTCTGCCTCTCTTTTAGACAAAGTAGACAAGTGAAAAGAGAAACAATGAACACGGGGTGAGACCATGTGGCCACAGTTTGGTCGCTTCTCAGCTGTATATTTGTGATTACCTCACTTTAACATCCTTGAATCTCTGTTTCCAACTTTTTAAAAGGGAAAAATGAAGTTTTCTTAACTCATAAGGCTATTCTGGGGATAAAATGGAATCACATACATGAAAGTACTTTGGCAACCATGAAGTGCTCAGTTAGGCAGAATAAAGCATTCTAAAGCTACGACGACTCTAATTCAAATAACACATATTTTAGTGCATTTGAAATATCTAATAAATTAAAGCTAAAGCAGAACATTTTTGCCTGAATACTCAGATCAGTGCTTTAATTCTGCAATTTATTTAATATGTAGGGACCACAATTTCACATACAGTTCTTCTGTTTCTTTCAGCTGATAATTTGTAGGATTCTATAAACATCATTTGATCCTTTTAAAAACAAAAGTTTAAGGGCAAATAAGCTTATTTGTTATCCTAATAGGCTTTTAATGACAAACTAGATTTGGATTGTTCTTTTTTTCTCAACCTAGAAATTTAACTTGGCTTAAGTAACTGAGTAAAGACTTACTCTGCTTTTTGTTTTTGGCTTTTAGACTGCTGGAGAATCTTGATGCCCATCTTAAAAAGCTGGTCTCCTTCATCTGTGAGATTTTTATATGCTTGCTTTTTTGCTATATATAGACAAACAAGGAAAAAATAACATTATTTTTGTGTTTTATATTTTAAAAATAGTGTGCTGGCATATTAGTTTGGGTTTTGTGCTCCTTATTTTTTAACCTCTGCATTTGAAGATCTCTTTGCCTTTGGTCAGAAAGTAGAAGCTGCCTACAAAAGTACCCTCTTCCTGTCTTTTGTGAAAGGGTCTGGAGGATGGAGCAGACAGAGAGATGCTTCTGATGGTAGGAGGGAGAGAGATATTCCTGGTCTGGGAAAGGGATGCAAAGTCCTGCAAAGCAGTAGGTAGGAAGCAAGGCCTCCAAGGGAAGGGGTCACCTGGTTTATCCTAGAGACTGAATCTTAGATACTAGGCTCTCAGCTCTCAGACTCCATTGTGTGAGCATGGCCCATAAACCTCAGAGCCATAAGATTTCAAGAGAACATGAGGGCATGAGCAATGGGTATCTCCAAGACAACCAGTGTACACCTAAGTTTGGAGGACAGAATCTCCCTAAAAATTTTGCTCTGCGGAAGGCTCCCTCTTCCTCCCCCAGAAGCTTTCTAAGACCTTTCTAGCCTGACTGAGAACTGCTGGGCATGACCATCAGGAATAAAAGAGGGAGAGTAGATGTGTCAGAACACACCTAAGACCTTGGGAAAGACATACAGAGAGTACCAATAACAACTTGCCTTGTGGGATGGGGGCTCAGAGTCAATTTTATAGGATTTAAGGAAAATAAAGAAATGAAATTTTACCTCCTACAATGATATTTCTCAAGTATTTATATAACACTTTACAGTTTTCAAAACATTATCACCAGTTTACAGATAGAGAAGGCTGGTTAGAGGGAGAATCAGCCTTAGAGCCCTACCCCACCCCCAACACATACACACACACATACACACACAACCTTCCAAAGCATCACAGCGCCTCTAGAAATCCATTTTGACACTCAGTGAACCTCTGATTAGGTGAATGACGCCTGAAGCCATTTTAAAGGAGAGGCATTCCAGGATTTGATGCCTCATTAATAAGACCACAAAGAACTTTAAGTGGTTCTTGTTTTTCTTCTGCCTGACAGGCTATCAGAGTTGTCCACTTCCTTTTTAAAATTAAAAAAATTTTTAAACTTAAAAGCCAATCTACAATTATTTTGAATGCTTCAAGTTATCCAATCAATTTAGTAACACCAGACACTTTCAGCATCTAATTTCTGCTTTGAGTTATATGTTATCTATGCTCATGATTAAAGAGGAAATAATGGGAAAAGCCTGCTAAGCTGTGTTTGGAATAGTAATCGCTCCTATTAACATGTTTTCAAAGAGTGAGAACCAATTTTGAAAAGCTGACTCTGCATGCATGCACATTTCAGAAATGACCACTACAGATTTCTACCCATGGCTTTTACTTTTATTTGTAATTCTTTTTTCGGCTTCCCAGATGTATTCAAATACAAATTTGCTTTACTATAAGAGGGCTCGATTATCAGATAAAGTTAACTTGACAACACTTTACTTTCCTTTTTATAGTTTTTTTGTTTTATTTTTTTTGTGAGGAAGATCAGCCCTGAGCTAACATCTGATGCCAATCCTCCTCTTTTTGCTGAGGAAGATTGGCCCTAGGTTACCATCCATGCCCATCTTCCTCCACTTTATATGAGACGCGGCCACAGCACGGCTTGACAAGTGGTGCGTAGGTGCGCGCCCAGGGTTCCGGGACCAAAGCGACGAACCCCGGGCCGCGGAAGCGGAGTGTGCGCACTTAACCACTGCACCACCAGGCCAGCCGCTCCTTTTTATAGTTTAACGATTTCCAAATTTGAGGGAAGCACAATTAGGAAATGATTTGAGGAGACCATTCTCAACTCGATGTAAAGGACCTTCAGGAGTCTGGAGTTCTCGGAATGGCCAAATAGTGGATGCCTGTTGTTCTGTCCTGATAGGGGCTCTAAACTGACTGAGAAGTGGTGGGGGTGAGCATCAGGAAGAAAAGAGGGCAGAATAGGTGTGGCAGAGCACTATGTAAGAAAGCAGCAAGTGTGGAAAGTGTCCCAACTAGATGAATTTATATTTCAGTGTTTGTCAGAAACATAATTTGTAGAGAAAGTTCTTGACGTTTTACTACTTCTGCAGTCTTATTACCATTATTCCATATCTAACTTTGATGTTGTTATGGGCTGAATTGTGTCCCACCAAATTCATATGTTGAAGTCCCAACCCCCAGTACCTCAGAATGTAACCTTATTTGGAGATAAGGTCTTTAAAGATGTGATTAAGTTAAAATGTGGCCATTAGGTTGGGCCTAATCCAATATGACTGGTGTCCTTGTAAGAAGAGGAAGAGACACCAGGGGCATGTGGGCAAAGAGAAAAGACCATGTAGGGACACAGTGAGAAGGTGGCCATTTATAAGCCAAAGAAAGAAGCCTTAGAATGAAATCAACCCTGCTGATCATGGACTTCTAGCCTCCAGAACTGTGAGAAAATAAATTTCTGCTGTTTAAGCCACCTCACCCATGGTATATTTTTATGGCAGCCCTAGCAAACTAATACAGATGTCAACTCCAGATGGCATGGAAAACAAGCCACCTCTTCTCCCTGTGGGAAGGAATGCACCCAAACTCAGCTTCCCACCAGATCAGTAGCTACCTTCTAAATGTAGGAGGGACTATAATTTTCCATGGGCCCCCAAGTCTCCAGGTGCTGGACATCTGACTTTCCCAAGTATCTGGATGCCCAAATAGCTCACCTCTGATAAGGTCACTTTCTCATGACTGTAATCTAAGTAGCCAGTGCAGCAGGTAGACCTTCCATGTGTCCAGCAATCCCTGGACCCAACTCACCCCTCTGTGGGATGATGAGGGAACTGAGAATCTATGCCTTCTCTTGCTGACCCTTCAATTGTAAACTTCCTAATCAAGTCTAATTCTTAATCCCTATCACTTGTCCTTGTGGAGTTCCTGCAGAATCCTCTTGTTCTTAATGACTAGAAGCAAATCTTTGGAACAGAAAGGGCCCACTTGCTTGTTTCAGATATTAATGAGAAAGGAGATCTGGAGACAACTTGTTCTCTGTCATCCAGACATTTACTTATCCATTTAGTATGAATTGAACACTTACCATGTGTTAGACACAGTGCTAGATATTGTTTTTACAAAGATGATTGCGACACTGTCTCAGCGGCAGTGGAGACAGACATGTTTACCAACAATTACAATGCCATGTAGCAGGCACTATGTAATAAGGTACTGTGCGAGTGCAAGAGCCTTCTTTGTAAGCAACAGAAACCTAATCTGATCTACTCAAGCAAAAGAAACTTATTTGGAGGCTGTTGAAGGCTCATAGAATCAATGGGTCAGTCAGGAATGAAAGCATCTCTGGAAGCAGATGCTGCTACCCGCATGGATTGGAATCTAATCCTTTTAGGATCTTCCCCTCTCTGCTCCAGACTCCATGGAGGACTAATCTGATGGGTCTAGTTAGGGAAGACAAGGTTCTCATTATATTCCTATAATAATGTATCCATGGGGGAAGACCTACTTCCTCAAAAGGAAATTGGGATAGTGAGAAAGGTAAAATGGATGATGGGAAGCCCCCAAAGAGCAAATGCTCACTTCAGGCACCTTACTCTGGCTAAGTGAAATTAAGAAATCTTCAGAGATGAAGTGACATTTTAGATAGTTTTGGAAAGGTAGGTAGGAGTTTGTTGGGCCAAGAAGATGAAACTGGCCTTCTATATAGAGGAAACAGTCTATGCAAATGAACCACAGGTATGAAACAATGAAGGGTGGGCAATGCATCTTAAATGAAGCTTGAGTGTCATGGTTGGTCACACAGTCCAGGCTGGCTGTGGAAATAAGTGATACCGAGGGGAGTGGACAGATGAGTGAAGAGAGAGTGAGAGGAGGGAGTAGAGGTCACTGTGAAGCTGAGGGCAGGTTTGGTAAAACCTGGAGAAAGAGAGAGCAGAAGTGGCAGGAAGGCAGCTCTGATCAGAGACAATTTTGGAGTTTGAAATCATATTGGTGATATAGCTCTACATGTGGCTGGTAAGCGGCTGAGGAGAAATAGAGACAAAGATGATTGGAATTGAGGAGGTATAGGAAATAAGGCAAGGTCTTCAACATGGATATTTAACCCCTCAGGTGCTGGTGGCCTGTAGTCATTGACTGACTGATGTGGGGATATAACTCCCTTGCATGGAAAGGGGGCAGTCCTCTAGTGCAATTCACTTTTCAAAGCTCTAAACTTCTGAAACCTTCTCTTTGCTCAGCTTCTTCCCTTGCCCTATCCTGCATTCCTTACTCTCTTATATGTTTCACCACAAAATCTAAAACCTTAACACTTAAATAAATAAATACCATCCAAATCATCCAGAAAAATAAAAGGAAAAAAATTCATTTTTTTGAATCTCAAGTTATAATTATATCATGAACCAATGGACCATTGAAAGTTAAAGGAATTAACAATTAAACTAGGAGATAAGTATCTTTTAGTCTGACTAAAATCAGGCACTTTCACCATTAAAATGATACAAAGAGATAAAAATGGGAAATTCTTTCCCCTGCAGAAAATCTTGCCTACACAGACATTGCATCCTTCTTATCTAATTTCAATTGTATTTGATATAAACCAAATTCAGCTTCTGACTTTCTAAATAATGCATCAGAAGAGCTCTTCATGTTTGCCCTTAATGTGTGCCAGGAAGATACAATCCCAGATAAGGAAGGAGAATAACGATCCATTACTAAAAATAACATTCCATCCAAGAAAGAATGACTCAGCAAAGAGTTTAGTCAGATAAAGATGCCATCAAATCCAATACACTTGAATAAGAGCACAGATATTTACATTAATCAAGTTTATTCACACTGTCCCCAGATTGTTGTTGTCAAACATAAATAGTGGTATTGCTAGGAAATGATAGACAAATTGTATTATAGGTAGAAAAATATTTCTTCTTCAAATATCCACTAAAAGCAAAACTTGAAAAAACTTGAAAAAACAGGAATTCT